ATCTCTCTTGATTCCTCAAAAGCTTTTTCTGTGACCATTCAAAGGATAATTTTACCTCAAGTGATGAAATGTGTAAATCTCAATAATAAATTTAAACATTTGTGGTCACTGATGATGGAGCTGACAGGAAAGGGTTAACCCCACCCATTCCAGGCTGGGAACTTCAGTCCAGTGGGCTTTAGGTACCTGAAAAACACTAACTGTGGTGATCTGTTCTGGTAGATTTCCTACCCATTCTGTTACAGGTTCTAGGCAAGAGATCCAAGCCAGTCTCTCTCTTTATTTCTGAAGAGAGAGAGAGAGAAATAAATATTTCCTCAAGGAAATTCCCCATTTGCTTTTGTGTGCAACATGACAGCAGGAACATCTAGAGACTATATGAATATGCTAATTGAGGAAAGAGAAACCAATCCCATTGAAATGATGGAAATTCAGACTTATGCTAATGATACACAGGAAGTGTATCTCAGCACAAGTGTTTGCTCCTCAGACGGGTTCAATTTTTGGTTTTGAGCTGAAGGAGGAAGCAGTATCTAGAGGCAAATGTTATATAGCCTTAGATAAAATTAAAGGGAAAAAAATCCAGGATTCAGGGTGGACAGCTTCAAAAATTTTGGACCATCTGGGAACAGGCTTGCAGAAAAAATGAGTGCTAGATTTAGTTAGATGATGCATATCCTCTGGAGAGAGGTTCCTCCCATCACTGATTATCCAGGAAGTCAGAAAAGCCTCTCAGGATAGTACAGACTGTTTGTCATTTGCTGAACGTTTGGACAATAGAAAAGGTGCCATGTCAAGAAAAGCTGTTTGCAGTGGCCTTCACAGTCCTAAAGAAAAATGGGGCATGGAAAGACAACTTAGATTTAAAGCCTCTGAATAAATCAGGCACCAGAGATTCAGAATGGAGACACAGACATCTATGGTAGAGGCTATTGTCTTAAACAATTTCCAGACATTGATAGACCTGCCCAAAGCATATTTTCATATTGCAATCAGACTAGAGCGCTGCAGGTTTCTCAGGTTTGCTTATGAGATGGAACAGTATCAATTCATGGCCCTTCCCTCCAGACTTACCTCAGCTCTAAGAATCTTCAAAAAGATACTGGCAGTTCTGGTGAGGCATCTGAAAACTCAAGGAGTACACATATAGTACATGCTTATCTGGACAACTTACTAGTTAGAATCTGTTCTATGGATAGAATTGTCAGGGGCACCAATCAGATTATTCAGTGCCTACATGAACATGGGTATGGGGTAATTCAGGAAAAGAGTTCTTTGCCTTTCAAGACATATATTCCACCTGGGAAACTTGATAGACACTCAGCATAAAAACATTTTCCTGTCACAAAAGGACAGACTGAAGATCCTGACTGCAATTAAGGAAGTGTTGATATCCAGGAAGAAATCCCTCATGGCCCTGAAGAAGCTGTAGAGTATGATCATTGCAAGTTAGGATTCTATTCCTTGGACAGGTTTCATGCAAGGCCACTACAGTAGTTTCTTCTGCTGTTAGAATGAAATACTGTATTAAAATATGTTTACTTCTGGAGGTTCCAGACATGATGATCAATTTGTTTTGGCATTGGTTGGTGACAACCACCTTATTAAGGGGAATACTCATAAGAGGACCTTGCAGGGCCAAATCACCACAGATGTCAGTTTCTCAGACTGGAAACCCCTTTTCAGAGTGACTCAACTCACCAGCTTTGGTCCCAAAGGGAACTGAATCATAGAATCCTCGGGTTGGAAGGGACCTTGGAGGTCTTCTAGTCCAACCTCCTGTCCAGTGCAGGAATCCTCATATCATTCTGGACAAATGCTATTTCCAAATGTCCAGTCTTTATCAGTCCTTATCAGCCTTATGGAGATGAGAACACTGTTTGGCATTAAAAGCTTTCACTTCTTAGAGTGATTGGGAGTCTATTTTTATCTACACAGAAAATATCTCAATGAAAACTTAGCTGAACAATCAAGAGGGGGACAAGATCAAAGGACCACAAAAGAAAATGTACAGGTAGTCCTCAAGTTACAATGGTGATTAGGTGTGGAATTTCCTTCACTAAGCAATGCAGTCATAAAGCATGATGTCATGTGACCATATTGCTTAGCGACAGCAATCCTGGCACTCCCTGTTGCTGCTGTTAACTGAATCCCACCAGTCATTAGGTGAGCACCCACCCCGATCCAAGTCACTTCTGGTTTGGTCCCTCCCAGCCCTGAGCCTCGGTAAGTTAAGGGACTGCCTCCTCTTCAATTCCCCCCACCACCTCTCTCTCCCCCATCTCGGCTCTTTTGGACGCCTTGCACTCCACTACCTCTGCCAATCTTGCCACCCTCTGTTCCGCTGTTCCTGCCAGCATTGCCACTCCCAGCTGACCTTCACCGTCTTCCTCCCACTGCTGACAAGGTGCTGTGAGACTAGGCTGAAGCTGCCATAACCTAAAGATGAAGCAGGCAGGTAAGCAGAGAGGACAAAAACCTCATCTTGTCTATGAGATCCCTTCAGGGAGGTAGATAAGAAGGAAGCAAGTTGTTAAGAAAAAAACAAAGGACCTAAACCAGAAAAAAAAGTTGGGCCTGAGCACATGGAAACCCCAATCCCATCAACAACTGCCAGACTTGTGAATCAACAAAGCAAGGACTTTTGGGGATAAAAGTGGTCCCAAAGCCCACTCACTCTGAGCCGTCTGAATCGTCTGAGTTGTCGTCTGAGTCATCTGAGTCACCTTTGGATCCAGACTTGGCGGCTTCCGTCCCTCTAGCGAGTGCCTGGCAGCCTAGTTGGGAAGGACGAGGGTAAGTGTGGAAGAGCGTGTGTGTGTGTGTGTGTATGAGAAAGAGCAAATGTACCTTGCAACC